TGGTACTATTTTTTTTACTCCAAACGCAACCAAAGCAACTGCCGTGGACTTAACACGATGTCCTCGGACTCCCTCTGGTGGCTCAATGAAGCATTTCCTCAAGAGTGTGTGCAGCTTATAGACAGAAGGTGAGATGTCCAGGGATGTTTAAAGAACAAAGTGTAAAAGTAAATATGTGGGAGAAATTCATAACAAGCCAAAATTACAAACGTATTGTGTCTCTAAAACTGTGTATGATTTTTAAAAATATTAATATTTAATTTAAGCAGGAAAGAAACTCGTCGAAACTAGAAAGAAAATCTGTTTTTCAAAGTGTCCTGGTCGAGAGGCAGCAGCACGATTTACAGAGTTTCACACCACATACAACAAATATTAGACCTTAAAAGACACAAATACCAAATTTAAACAGTAAATATTTGTCAAGAAGACCCACGGACACATCAGGGGAACATCTGCAGCCAGATGTGTCCACCTCCAAGTCATTAAAACATCCTCTTAAAATCCTCCAATGAGAGCAGCTCAGTCTCAGCTCTTTCTTGTGATTGGTTCAGAGTAAAAGGAGCAGCAAACTTAAACTTTAGGAACAGACGGTGAGAAAAGGTCCTGGGACTGATGATTTGAAGTCTCTGTTCTGTTCTGACTGATGGAGGTCAGAAGGTCAGAAGGAAGTGGACCTGAGAGAGACTTTAGATAAGAACATGTTGGTGTTTATGTTTGTGTGACACATGCAGACAGCAGACAGTGATGATGAACTTCAGAGCTTCATGATACTCAGAGTGCAGAGAGGGTAAGATGACCCATCAGAGAGGCCCGTGTCTCTCTGTGCCCGGTTACCTCTACATATGGCAACTGAATATACTGGAACTGAAGAGGCCTAAAGATGATGTCATAACTGTGAGCTCGCTGAAGTAGAGAGTTACACTCGTCACCGCAGGCTCTAAGAGAGTGATATAAGGAAATGACGTTTTGATAACCACATGTTCAAAATATTTTCTTTTCTTCTCTCGCTCTCTCTTTCTCTTATCTCTCTCTCTCCCTCTCTCTCTCTGTCTTCCTCTCTCTCTCTTTCTCTCCCTCTCTCTTTCTCTTTCTCTCTCTCTCTCTCTCTCTCTGCGTCCCCCTCTCTCTCTCTCTCTCTCTCCCTCTCTTTCTCCTTCTCTCTGTCTCTCTGTCCCTCTCCCTCTCTCTTTCTCTCTCTCTCTCTCTCTCTCTCCCTCTCTCTTTCTCTTTATCTCCCTCTCTCTCTCCCTCTCTCTCTCCCTCTCTCTCTCTCTCTCTCTCTCTCTCTCTCTCCCTCTCCCTTTATCTTTCTCTTTATCTCTCCCTCTCTCTTTCGCTTTCTCTCGCTCTCTCTCTCCCTCTCTTTCTCTCTCTCTCTCTCTCTCTCTGCCTCTCTCTCTCTCTCTCCCTCTCTTTCTCCTTCTCTCTGTCTCTCTGTCCCTCTCCCTCTCTCTCTCTCCCTCTCTCTTTCTCTCTCTCTCTCTCTCTCTCTCCCTCTCTCTTTCTCTTTATCTCCCTCTCTCTCTCCCTCTCTCTCTCCCTCTCTCTCTCTCTCTCTCTCTCTCCCTCTCCCTTTATCTTTCTCTTTATCTCTCTCTCTCCCTCTCTCTTTCGCTTTCTCTCCCTCTCTCTCTCCTCTCTCTCTCTCTCTCTCTCTCTCTCTCCCTCTCCCTTTATCTCTCTCTTTATCTCTCTCTCTCAGGAGAATTGATACTTTTTTCTGGTAGACTTTTTAAAATCATAACCGAAACGCTCCAAGCAGCCTCTGTGTCTCAGTTGGTAAGATCGGGGGTTCGATCCCCAGCTCCGCCACAGCCACATGTCCGATGTGTCCAGGTCCATCCCTAAGTTGCTCTCACTGCTTTGTCGGCGGCGTGTGTGTGAATTGTGACTTGACTTTACAGCTGTGCAGTAATCTGACCCCCCCCTGTGTAACATCTATAATAAGCCATCCCATTCATATCAAACTCAGTTAGCGTGACTCTGTTTGAAGCGGTCAGGATGAAACAGTCAGTGTGTTAAAAATAGAGATGTGAGCTGCAGGCCGAGCATGCAGCAGCCTGCTGATGACGACAAGTCAATATCAGTCGGTTTAAATATTATAACCTGAGAGTTACACCCTGTGTTATTATGAATCAGGAGACATAAAACTAAGTGTAGACTGGAAATTCTAGTTTGTAATTAAGTTTATACATGAAGCACATTTAAAACAACCTACGTTCACCATAATGCTGCACAACAAAGAGCAACAATAAACATTGAAATTAAATCCCAATAAAAGACTAAGAGAGCCCACAATCGACCGTAGGTACCATGAGCAGGCCTGATAACTGAAGGCTCTACCCCCATAGTACATTTAGAGCACGTTCACACTGGCCATCTGTACCGTGCCCAAGCACGCTTCAACGCTAAAGTCCAGTTCGTTTGACCAGTGTGACCGCTCCGTATCGTGCTCAGGCACGGTACACTTCCTTGTCTTTGGCACACTTCAGAGAGGTGTGCTTCAGCACGGTGCACTTCATGCACGAGCACAAGCACGCGAGTAAACAACGCTGACAGCCTTCATTGTGGAGAAATCCAGAGTTTCATGTCTGTATCTGAATAACATGACTCAATATAAGACACAAAGCAGCTGTCATGTTCTGTGTTGTTTTCCGATGGGCAGGTGTCCGCGCGGACTCACTCACGGACTCTATTTTCTATTTTTATTTATTTATTGCTGTGTCTGATTAAAATGGCTTAAAATAAGCTGTAAAGTCAGTAAAGTAGCTGTCATGCTCTGTGTTTTTCTATGATGTGCAGACGCAGACTTGATTACGCGTCTCTTTCTTTCTCTCTCGTCCGCCTGCTTGTAAACTTCATAATAACATAAAGCGTGCATGTGTTGTATTAAGACGTTATGAACAAGAGGTAATCGTGCTTAGGCACGGATAGTCCTGTGTAGTGTGACCGCGGGCCGCACCGGCCAGCAGGGGAATGGCGCAGCAGGGGGGCAATCGTGCTTGGGTACAGGACGGTACAGATGACCATTGTGACCCTTAGAGACCGTAGGTACCACTAGCAGGCCTGATAACTGAAGGCTCTACCTCCCATAGTACATTTAGAGACCGTAGGTACCACGAGCGGGCCTGAAAACTGAAGGCTCTACCTCCCATAGTACATTTAGAGTATAGTTACCACGAGCAGGCCTGATAACTGAAGGCTCTACCTCCCATAGTACATTTAGAGACCGTAGGTACCACGAGCAGGCCTGATAAATGAAGGCTCTACCTCCCATAGTACATTTAGAGACTGTAGGTACCACTAGCAGGCCTGATAACTGAAGGCTCTACCTCCCGTAGTACATTTAGAGACCGTAGGTACCACGAGCAGGCCTGATAACTGAAGGCTCTACCTCCCATAGTACATTTAGAGACCGTAGGTACCACGAGCAGGCCTGATAAATGAAGGCTCTACCTCCCATAGTACATTTAGAGACTGTAGGTACCACTAGCAGGCCTGATAATTGAAGGCTCTACCTCCCATAATACATTTGTTACATTTGTTTTGGAGCTCTGATGATGACAGGATGGAGCAGTTGTTTAATTTCAATGTTGAAAGTCGAACACTTTAATTCTGTCTCTAAAACCTGAAATATAAATCATGATGGATTATTTAATTATTATTATTATTATTATTATTATTATTATTATTATTAAGGGTCTACTTTTGGTATTTGGTTTCTTTGGTTTCTGTGTTTTAATAATGGTGACTTGTAGGCCTGTTTGGGGTTTGGCATATTGTTTATGCATGCCACAGTAATCAAATCAAATCTTCATCATCATCTCAAAGCGGATCATTAGAGGAATAAAAAAATAAAAACAGTGAGGTGACACATCGCATCCTTTTACATTTTTCGACTTGTGATTGAACAACGACGCAGTGCCAGTCAGGACCTGTAAACGGAGAGCTGCGTCAATCTGCTGCTGACAGCATGACGTTACCGGATATGAGGTCATTCTGCCTTCAAAATAAAGTTCTAGCTCATTTTATGGCGTCAGCCATCCAAAGTTATTTATCTTGAGGTAACGTGACGTCTCTGCGTTAACTTGGTTCAGCTTATTTTTCATCTTGCATCAAATCATCAAACTTTGTATGTTCTTATTAAAGACGCTGCATACGGGGGGAGGAGAGCTACGGCTACAGCTGGATTAGGCGGTTTCAGTGGAATACTGTCCCTGTCCCATGTAGGCTAAAAAAGCCGCATCGGCATCGAGGTTTTGGGGCGCTGGTAGCCTATAGTGGGTAGTTTGCGCGCCCCATCAATCAATCAAACTTTATTTACACAGCACCTTGCAGACAAATTAAATTGCAGATCAAAGTGCTTAACAAGAGTGCAGAAAAGTTATTGACGAAAAAGTAGTTTATAAAATCATTGAGAGACTAATGCACACCAATAAGAATAAAAAAATATATATATATAAAAATGAAAAAATAAAATACGACACATAATAGCAATAAGATATTAAAATGAATACATAGGAGAAGAATATTTAAAATTGTAGTAGGATAAAAAAGACCATACAATAATTTTAAGATTTATAGAAAGCACTATATAAAAGCCATGTATAGAGGCTGTGGTCTATGAGCTAATGGTCCAAGTGGGTGGCCCGGGTTCGAAATCCAACCTGTAGCTCCTTTCCCACATGTCATCATTCCCCTCTCTCTCTTTCTCTCTCTCTATGCCCGACATCTGACTATTATTATTAATTATTAATATTATTCTATTATTGTTGTTATTATGCTTTTCTCCCTTTATTTAACTGATATGTTCGATTTTTAACTTCTTATTTTTGATAATTATATTCCTGTTTCTTGAGCTGAAAAACATTTCCCCCATGGGGGATCAATAAAGTTTATCTTTGTCTTTGAATAACGTTCGTTGAATAAGGGTTTTATTTTGAAGTCTCCTCGTCCGGAAACGCATCGGTTTCATTGTGTGTGACTTGACCCAGTCGAGGCAGAAAGTGTCTTGTAACAGTTTGAAGTCTAAAATTAGGGAGGCACCCCAACAGCAAATGACGCAAGCGGACTAAAGTGGACAGTGTCTCTCGTCTCTGCGCGTCAATGACAGGACTCAGGACCATGGAGACGTCCACTACAACTCTGCTGTTGTTGATGACACGGGGGGTATTTTTAGATGTTGTTGTCATCTTTTCGTAACGGCCGTTCAGTATAAAGGACTCCTTCAAAATGCAGCTGTACAACAGTGCGCTCACACACTACCCGAGGTCGTCTCGCAAAGTTACAATAACTTTATCGGCCGCGTCGGAGCGTCTAAACGGGACTACACCGACCCCCCCTGAGGCCGATAAAAGGGGATTTACCCACCCAGAGACAACTTCAGCCACCAACGGGGATCCCGTGAGCGACACTGCTGCTGCTTCCGCAAACATGCCTGCCTTTTCATGTTACGAGGCTTCCTCTATGAGGCCGATTTACTTCACATCGACCGCTGAGATATTAATCCGCCGACCCGACGGAGTGGAGAGGTCTGTGCCGATCCACTTCGTGAGGGAGTCCAAGACCAAACCAGCCTCTCCTGACTCGCACAGTAATGGTGAAGGCATCCTCTGTCATGACTGTGACTCGGATGTGATTGTGGACTTGATAGATCATGTAAATAATGGGACAGATGACTACCAGGAGGTGGTTGGAGATCTCTTTTTCAACAGCGCCAGCACCTGTAGACCCAAAACAGAAGAAAACAAAAGGATTGGTGGAAATGCAGGTGAGGGTGATGAAGTGATGCATGCCCCCTTCAAGAGCAACGGGTGGGCCTCGTCGCAGCAAGAGGAGCTAGCTCAACCTGAAGACCTCGTAAAGGGAGATTTTAATGTCAGAGCTGCTCCAGAATCCGAGGAGAGACGGGCGTTCGAGCTCAGCGTCCTGCAGGAGTCGCCTCAACAGAAAAGACAGGAAGTAGAGGACATCAACGATAAGGTCACACGGTACCTGGCCGAGGTGGAGAGACAAAACAAGTACCTCCAGGAGAGGCACAAGTTCAGGTACCACGTCATTCCAGACGGGAACTGCCTCTACAGGGCCGTGTGCAAGGCCACGTTCGGGGACCAGGCGAGGCACGGCGAGCTGAGGGAGCAGACGGTGCACCACATCGCCGACCACCTGGACGAGTTCAACACCATCGTCGAAGGGGACGTGGGCGAGTTCCTGATCAACGCGGCGCAGGACGGCGCCTGGGCCGGGTACCCCGAGCTCCTCGCCATGAGCCAGATGCTGGACGTCAACGTTCACCTGACGACCGGCGGCAGCCTGGAGAGCCCCACCGTCTCCACCATGGTGCACTACCTCGGGGAGGAGGACGCGTCCAAACCAGCGATCTGGCTCAGCTGGCTCAGCAACGGTCACTACGACGTCCTCCTCGACAACTCGCTTCCCAACCCCGAGTATGAGGACTGGTGCAGGAACTCGCAGATGCAGAGGAGACGAGACGAGGAGCTGGCAAAGTCCATGGCGGCGTCTTTATCCAAAATGTACATCGAGCAGAATGGATCAGCGTGAAAGCAAAAACACTGAATGATGACAATAAAAAAGACGACACTGATACAGTAAAAGAATATTCCACTGATCTGCAGGAGTTTTACTTTGAATGATTTTTATAAGATTTCTACAGCGAGAGACGTGCAGTGCACATACTTTGTGTTTTTTCTTTTTGTAAAAGCAGTGCCAGATTAGTGGCAGGACATGTTTGAAAGTGTGTGAGCCTGTTCTTGACAGTTTGGGTTTGGATGGTGAAATGATTGATGATTTAAATACTCTTTATGTCTGAGCTTTTGAGTTTCCATTTTTTCTCCGTCTGTATAATCGTTATAGCTCCTCTCTCTCTTTTTGCACAAAAGTCCTTTTCAGTCCAGAGAGTTAGATTATAGCTTCTTTGAGAGAAAAATCTAAGGGTTGTTTTTTTTTCTATTATTCCATTTCTGTTTAGAAAAGTATTTTAAAATAAATTTCTAAAAAATAAAAATAAAAAAACTCCATTTGTGTTGTTTGCATTTTGAAGTTTGTTGCTGTGATGCTTTATGATCCGTCTCTAATCCGTTCTTATCCACTATCATCACGGTTGGGGGTCAGCTGTTCCATCCTGTGCAGAACACATCCCTGAGAATGAGACCCGTCTTTTTAATCTTTTTTAGAGGGATGACTTGATGCATTACTCATCCTTTCATTGTCAGCTGTTCTGGATTTTAAAAAGTGTAAAAACAGAAAAGTGACTCTGCAGCCGACGGCCTCCCACTCAGGTCGGGCTGCAGAACAAAGGGATGAAATGAAGGTGATATATGAGAGCTCACCTGCGCTGCATCAAAGCGATGTGCACCGTCCACACGAGTACAGTTTGATAAGGAGTTTTAAGTTTGTGTGTCTTTTGGTTCCCTCTGTTTTGTTAATGTGCAGAAATCTTATTTTGAACCATGTGGTGAAAGCAAAACACATCAACACAACAAATACATGTTGCCTCACAGCGAGGAAGTTCCGGGTTCGATTCCCCGTCTGACAGGAGTCTCTCTGTGTGGAGTCTGCATGTTCTCCCCATGCATGTGTGGGTTCTCTCCGGGTACTCTGACTTCCTCCCACAGTCCAAAGACATGTTAGCTGTTAGCTCGTTAGGTTAGCTGCTGACTCTAAATCCCCTGTAGGTAAATACATGAATAACAAAGTTTGCAATTAAGAACATTAGAATCAGACATGAGAACCGGTGTCATGGTGGTACAGAAGCTGAAGGTGCCCAGCGGAGTCTGAGATCACACGTGTCAGGTAGGAAAACATTATTGTGTTCATTTAACAGGAGATGATGAACAAATGGATTCCTCAGGTGTGTTACAGATGTTAGTTCTTCAGGTGTGTTACAGATGTTAGTTCTTCAGGTGTGTTACAGATGTTGGTTCTTCAGGTGTGTTACAGATGTTGGTTCTTCAGGTGTGTTACAGATGTGAGCTCCTAAGGTGTGTTACAGATGTTAGTTCTTCAGGTGTGTTACAGATGTTGGTTCCTCAGGTGTGTTACAGATGTTGGTTCTTCAGGTGTGTTACAGATGTTAGTTCTTCAGGTGTGTTACAGATGTTGGTTCCTCAGGTGTGTTACAGATGTTGGTTCTTCAGGTGTGTTACAGATGTTAGTTCTTCAGGTGTGTTACAGATGTTGGTTCCTCAGTGTGTTCCAGATGTGTGTTACAGATGTTTGTTCCTCAGGTGTGTTACAGATGTTAGTTCCTCAGTGTGTTACAGATGTTAGTTCTTCAGGTGTGTTACAGATGTTGGTTCCTCAGGTGTGTTCCAGATGTTAGTTCTTCAGGTGTGTTACAGATGTTAGTTCTTCAGGTGTGTTACAGATGTTGGTTCCTCAGGTGTGTTGCAGATGTGTGTTCCAGATGTGTGTTACAGATGTTTGTTCCTCAGGTGTGTTGCAGATGTGTGTTACAGATGTGTGTTCCAGATGTGTGTTACAGATGTTTGTTCCTCAGGTGTGTTGCAGATGTTAGTTCCTCAGGTGTGTTACAGATGTTAGTTCCTCAGGTGTGTTACAGATGTTAGTTCTTCAGGTGTGTTACAGATGTTTGTTCCTCAGGTGTTACAGATGTTAGTTCCTCAGGTGTGTTACAGATGTTTGTTCCTCAGGTGTGTTCCAGATGTGTGTTACAGATGTTTGTTCCTCAGGTGTGTTACAGATGTTAGTTCCTCAGGTGTGTTACAGATGTTGGTTCCTCAGGTGTGTTCCAGATGTGTGTTACAGATGTTGGTTCCTCAGGTGTGTTACAGATGCTAGTTCTTCAGGTGTGTTGCAGATGTTAGTTCCTCAGGTGTGTTACAGATGCTAGTTCTTCAGGTGTGTTGCAGATGTTAGTTCCTCAGGTGTGTTACAGATGTTAGCTTTTCAGGTGTGTTACAGATGTTGGTTCCTCAGATTGGTTCCAGATGTGTGTTACAGATGTTAGTTCCTCAGGTGTGTTACAGATGTTTGTTCCTCAGTGTGCTCCTCTTACTTTGAAGGATGACTGACTAAACATCCGACCTGTAGTTTGTACTGCAGTTGTACCAGACTGATTTTTTGATGACATCAGACGCCACAGGAAGCCAGCCCTCTGATGGAGCTGCACTTTTCCTCCAGTAGGTGGAGCTGTAGCTCCCTTTAAACACTGACAGAGTTTAAGACTTCTTTTCAGGCTGACTTTCACCATGTTGTATCGATTTAAATGTGCTCAAGTGTTCTCTGACTTCTTAAATAATAAATATAAATAAATAAATAAATATATATAATAATGTACATATATATATAATATATCTCTTTCATAATGTTTGATTCAAGAATAAAGACAATTTTCAAACGAAAGCTGTTATAATAACGAGTAAAACAACTTCATGTTAAATTGCTCTCAATCACCACACAGCCTCATATCTCTACTTTATTATGAACCATAAAAGAAACTTTATTGAAACATAAAAAAGTAAAAACAATTAGACAGAGCAGTTTGACATATATGTATTTCTAGGTAACTAAAACAAGAGACTCAAAATAACATTTTAATGCCTTATGAATATGACATGTTGATAATAAAATACATAGGCTGACAATAGCACATAGTTTTATATCTCTAGTGAAAACATCGCACGTTTTTGTTTGACATAAAAATATAGTTCTCAAGGTCTTTCCAGAGTGTGGTGGACCTGGAAGTAAACTTTTTTAAAAAATGTTGAGATAGGCTTTTTACGCTTGTGTTGGATAAATGTGATGGAGTTATTATGAGTCATGTGGCCTGATGACGTAACCCTGCAGTCATGTGGGACATCAGGGAGAGAAAAGTTTGAATCTTTTTTTTTTTTAATGCAGGAGGAGAGAAGGATCCTGTCCCTGCTTCAGAGAGAGAGAGAGAGAGAGAGAGAGAGAGAGAGAGAGAGGAGCACAGGGCAGGTGATAGTGGACCGAGAGAGCGGGCTGCTGCTGCAGTACTGGCACACAGTCAGCAGCACACACAAACACACACATACACTTCTACACACACACACTTCTACACACACACACACACACACACACACACACACACACACACACACACACACACACACACACACAGAGAGAGAGAGGGAGCAGAGGGAAAGTCAATGACAGACGCTTCCCACCGGCGTGCAAGATTCCCGTGCTCGGAAGTTACCGGATACTTTGAAAACAGCCAGCTCCCGGTGGAAGAGGAACACACACAGTCGGTGGTCGGTGGCTCTGACCTGAGAGGAGGTGGTGGACATGTCGGGACACCGGGTGCAGTTCGCGGACCTTCCTCCGAGTCAACACAAAGGAAGTCCTAAATTTCACAGTAAGGAAAAATGATTGAGTGAAACGTCTGCTGTGCTGACCTTCATTTGTTTTGTTTTAATTATCAGTGGGGAAACTCTTTCTGCGTTCTTCTTCCTCCCCCGAGCTGTCAATAGCTTCTTCATAGTAACTTCATATCTAGATGTGTGTTGTCATAGACTGGACACAGGAAGAGTTGAAGATTCCTGTGAACTTCCCCAATGGAAAGGTGTTTTTATCAAATGTTACCTTAAAGTAGCCTTAAGGGAATCAGAGTGATGCTTCTTTCTTTGGCAAATTCTACAACATTCATTAAAGCGAAAACATCCACAGCTTATTATTAAGATTTTGAATCATGGCTTCCAGCTGTCAAGCTAAACTTTTCCATCTTGTGGAGAATTGTGATGACTGTTTCATACATACAACACGTGCATTACTCACATGACATGCACGGCTCTGGATATGCTTCCTAATGTGATGTGCACCCTCCCTTATGCGTGACATGGTTCAGGGATGTTGAGATGAACCTTCACTCTCGATGTTCTCTGCATGTGCATCAGTGCTGCGATCCCATCCAGTGCTCACTTCATGCACTCATCTGAAGTGGCAGTTGCCCTTTACGTGAGCTGCTGCTGCAGCTGCTGCTAACTTTTTTTATCCTCATGCTCCGTCTTTAGTAAGGTGACCCTCACCTATGGATGCATTCAGTGACTGCTTTAATGAAACACACATTCTACAAATAAATGAACACTTATTATTGTGTTTGCTTTAATTACACAAGTAGATTGCTTAAACATGTGCTCCTGCTTGCATGTGAGATGTGACAGTGTCAGCCTTTTTGCTGCTGTGTGACTGCAGTGTATGCACTACAGCATGAGACACAGAGAAGCTTAGCTCATCTCCATGGTGACAGGTTGACTGACAGGACACGTGAGCGAGGGTGCAATGGGAAAATTGCCAGTTTGCTGCAAAGCCCTCCAGAGGGGTGCATCTACAGTGCACACTGTTTTTTTTTATGACAGCTCATGTGATATATTTTTTTGCGTCCATGATGGCAACTGTTCTGTCAGCTTGTTGTGATTTTGTCACGGGCACTCAGCAACGTACATGAAGGCAGCTGGGTGAAAAAGGGTTTGATTTGTTTGGTTGCCGCTCGAGCTCAGGTTGCACGCAGGGCATGCTGGGTCAGTGTGTGGAAGGACAGAACGGCTGCTTCAGCAGGAAAAACGGCACATTTCTGACTCAGCCAATCCACCTCTTTTTTCATCCAGATGCAGGTGACAGAGGGGTCAAGTTTCCCCTCTTATCTCCTTCTCTGTCTTTGGAGATATGAAGACAAACTGACAGCCAGGGATTAAGTTCTTATAATCATCTCTACCCTTTTTATGTATGTGTTGGAATACAAATAACACCTGCATGGCAACAGATCTGTCACTCATTGCAGAGAATACTCATCATTACCTTGAGGGAATTCTGTGGGTGGTGCTGTTTATTCTTCTTGAGTTAAAGCAGTAATCTACCAATTCCATATTTGAAGATTTTTCTTAAAGCAATGCTCATTGTGTTGGCGTCCCTCCAAACATGAATTTCTCTAACAGTGTACTGCAGCTTTTATCTTTTCTGTGTTGATAAAGTTGGCAGTTCTAGCTGTTCTG